TGCCAGAGCAGGTGACAGTTGACTTTGAGCTTGGGTAGCTTGGTTTTTCCCAGGGACAGGCAACAGAAGGAGGGTAAGACTTGGATTTGCCCAACAGGCTGCATGGTGTTCCCCAGGGAACTCTGACTCCTTGTCTGTCTCAGCAGGTGCACTGTCCTTACCCCAGGCCCCTCCCGCTGCTGTTCCTCAGGTCCCTAGCCCTCCTGATAGCCCTGGCTTTGGAAAAGGCCCCTGTGTGTCTGTTGGGTTCTGAAGCTAGCTGATAGCTTGGGGGGGGTTCTGGTGGCTGGTGTGGGGGGTCATTCCTGCATTGGTTCCTTTCTCCTCCGGTGGCTTTTGTTCCTCTCCCTCCCTGTGCTGTTTCCCGTTTTGTTAGTTCCACCTCTCCTTGTGGACATGTGGCCTTGATGTGTACACCCACCAACTTTGAGCAGTGCTTCTCTTTTGAGCACTGCTAAGCCCTGTTCAGGCTCACCCTCCATCCCAGCCCCGCCGCTGTCCAGCAGACCAGAACCCTGGGGAAGGAGGTTTCTCTGCTCAGCTCTTTGGAAAGGCCGACTCAGTTGTCGGATGTCTTGGTCTCTGGGAGACAGGTCGCTCTCAGCGGAAGGCTGGGGCGTGTGCTGCAACAGGTTCTGGCAGTGTGTGGTTGGAGCCCATGTGGTAGAGACCCAGGCTGGCCACCTGCCTCTGACACTGCCCTTCATAGGAAGGCTGGGACTTTAACTGAGGTTATTGGATTCTGAACATGAACTGTTTTGCCTCAGGGGCCAGATGGTGCTTGCCGTGCCTGTGGGTAGACATGGGTGGAAGTCCCAGGTTAAGGAAGCATTCTGGCCCCTGGCCAGGGGTTAGAGCTGAGCAGCAGTTCCTGGGTGCTGCTGAGCTGGTGACAAGGTGGCTTTCTTGAGAGACCCTTCTTGAGGGGAATTTGAATGTCTGGTCAGAAGCCAGAGGCTGATGAATAGAGTTAGTGGAAAGAGGGAAGAAGGTGACAAAGGTGGGCATGGGGCTAGAGGGCCTCCTGGTCAAGGATGGGATTTGTGAAGCTGTGTTTGCTCTTTGTCAGCAGGAAATCCAAATCTCCTCCCAAAGTGCCCATTGTGATTCAAGACGATAGCCTTCCCACGGGGCCCCCTCCACAGATCCGCATCCTCAAGAGGCCCACCAGCAACGGTGTGGTCAGCAGCCCCAACTCCACCAGCAGGCCAGCCCTTCCTGTCAAGTCCCTAGCCCAGCGGGAGGCTGAGTACGCTGAGGCCCGGAAGCGGATCCTGGGCAGCGCCAGCCCTGAGGAAGAGCAGGAGAAACCCATCCTCGACAGGTGAGTATGGCCAGCCACCCTGGAAGAGCAGCAGCAGCAGCAGGGCCTGGCTGTGTGCAGACCAGTGAGGAGCCTGCTGGGCCTGCTCAGTCTGTGGAGGCCTGGGGGGGTGCTGATGCTATCAGGTGGAGGTTGTTGGCAGTCTGCAAGCACAACGGCGATGCTGTAGAGGCTATAGGCACAGATTTCGAGTCAAAATTTGCCACTTGCGAACCACTTAACCTGTCACCCAATCTCGAGAAATGGGTCAGTGGTAAATCCCTGCCTCACCAAGTCATCACACACCCTTGTGAACGAACAAGTCGCCAGAGGGTGGTGAGCCCTATGTGGATGGTAGGGAGCACCCAGTTAAGTGCTTCAGTGTTATATTCTGGATCTCCAGTAGCCCACTGTGTAAATTTTCTAAATTCTTTCTCATTCTCAGTATTTTTTTTCCCTACCGTACCAGAGGTTACACTATATCACTTTGTCACTTCCTAGTGAAGCAGTATTTGTTAAAATGGTCTAACTTGGAATGGCCTCTTTGGTAATTTGATATATTGTGATTTAAAGAACTAATCTTTGAATTGAACCTAGAGATGCTTTACCACTGAGCCCCATCCCCAGCCTTTTTGGTTTTTGTTTTGTTTTTAGACAGGGTCTCACTAAGCTGCTGAAACTGCCCTTGATATTGTAATCTTCCTTCCTCAGCTTCCCGAGTCACCAGGGTTACAGGCATGCACCATTGCACCTGGGCCCTGCCCTTATTTTGAAGGGACATCTTTTATCTGTTTTCTTCTCTCAGTCCTCACCTTCCCAGAGTGGAAAAGCCTGTTTCCTTCATCATCTCTAGTAATATTGGTCAGCCACTAACTGCATGGTTTAGAGACACACAGGAGGCAGAATGGAGGGTGCTGGCTCACTTGAGCTAATGGCTAAGGGTCTTTACCTGGTCAACACGGGAAAATCTATGCCTTCTGGACAACACGGGCTCCTGAGCAACCCCCTGCCTCCAAATGGGGAAGAATGCTATAGCTGCTGGAGGTGAGCATGGACCACCAACCCCTGTCCACCTGGATCTCCCAACTAGGAAATGTCCCAGCCTGCTTGCCAAAGAAGCAGGCTTATGGAACCAGAGTTAGCTGATAGCCACTGTGACGGCCACCCCAGCTTTAAGCATGACTGTTTTTATGATTTGGGGGCATCTTTTATATTTTGTTTCAGTCCTTCCTCTTATCTTCCCCTTCAGGCCAACCAGGATCTCCCAGCCCGAAGACAGCAGGCAGCCCAATAATGTGATCAGACAGCCTTTGGGTCCCGATGGGTCACAAGGCTTCAAACAGCGCAGATAAATGCAGGCAAGAAAGGATGCCGCCGCTGCCGCCATCACCACCTCCTGGGTCGTCCACCACGGGTCGTACTGCCGTGGCAGACAGCTGGACTTGAGCAGAGGGAACGACCTGACTTACTTGCACTGTGATCCCCCTTGCTCCGCCCACTGTGACCTTGAACCCCATGCACTGTGACCTCCCCCCTTACTCCCCTTCCCACTGTGATTGGCACATCAACAAGGGCTGTTCCAAGTCAATGGAAAGGGAAAGGGTGGGGGCTGGGGGAGGGCTGGGTGTCCCATCAAGGACTCAGAGTAGAGAGTCAGACAGTGCCACTCGGCCACTTGGGGTAAAGCCAGTGCCAGCAATAACAGTTTATCATGCTCATTAATTTGGGATTTCAAAACACAAATGAGAACTCCCACCCACCCACCCCCAAGTGCATGTCTTCATCACTTAAAAAGTAAGTTCCATTTGAAAATATCCTTTCCTTTTTTTTTTCCTTCCTATTTTTGTTTGTTTATACAAATATCTGATTTGCAAGGAAAGTGCATGGGAGGGGGTTTTAGCAGTTTAATGAATTTTTAATTGAGAAAGGGTAGTTTGGTAGTCTACTTAAAAATGTTTCTGGGAAATTTGCTAGAAACATTAACCAATAGGATTTTGGTGAGCTTAGCTTCTGTATTCCTACTGCCGCCCAGAAAAGGGGCAGGGCTCTGCAGCCCCAGGACAGATGAGCACCCCATGCCTTTACCTCCCTCCCCCAGCTAGGTTCCGGGCCTCTTGGCCCTGCCTGGAGACAGGGCTAGCTCTATAGGCTCAGAGAGCCTGGGGAGGGTGCCAACCCACCTCTAGTATTTTGGGAGATAGGGAAAGTGACAGACTTCCCCTTCCCCTACCCCTCAGGGTGGCTTCCTACCAGCCAGGCTTGCTACTTCTAGAGGAAAGCAGGAAGCATCAGAGAGTGAGGCTGCACTCCTGCCTTAGGAGAAAGGGATAGGAGGCTTGTCAAGTGTTTGCTGTCAGCACAAGAAGACCAGGAGAGAGTCTGGCTCCGGGACTTCGGGCCATTTGCTCCGTGTGGTCAGAAGGTAGAGGGACCTGCCCACTCCAGCGAGGATAGAACTCTGTGAAGGGTCTGCGAGTGCTCCATCTCCATTGGTGGCCTCAGCTCAGTCCCTGTACCTGGTGTGCTTCCTATGTGAAACCAGTACTGTGGGAACAGACCAGTCTGAATAAAGTTGGGAGAAGAAGCATTGCAAAGATGGATGGCCAACTAGTTCCCAGTGGTCTGGCCACCCTTCACCCCTTTTTCCAGAGTGAGGACTTGGAATGAAGATGATTTCTCCTCTCCCTGGAGCTTGGAAGTTTGCTTTGGCTCCTTGGGCAGAACAAGCTAGAGGGCAAGTGCCCCGAGAGCAGCTCTACACAGCTTGCCCCCTCTTGGGCCCTCTGGTCCCTCCCAGCGCACTGCACCTTCCTCCCCAGCCAGCCAGGTGGCCTCACACTCCTGGCTAGCAGGTGGGGTTTGGAATGGTTGGCATGATTTTGGATTAGGGCATCTTGTGGCAGCCCTGATGGCAGGCTAGGGTTTCAGGCTCTCTCCACCTCGGTTCACCTGGTCTCAGCCTTGCCCTTAAGTGGTAAGTCAGGCCCAGGTATGTCTCAAAACATCTTCCCCTCAGGAGGAAGGGCCAGCTGTCAGTTGACTAGTCCACGGCACAGCCTTAGAACTGGGAAGCCAGGAAGTGTCTGTGAGCAGTGCTAGAGCAGAGCTCAACCGCAGGACGCACGGTCACCTCCAGGAGTGGACAGGAAGAACACTGGCTGCTATCTTAACATGCACTGCCCTGACCAGGTGTCCACCTTCTAAATGTCCAGTGCCCATCCTCAAGTAATAGTGATTTCTGGCCCATGGTGAGACTGTCTTTTGGGAGAAGGATACAGAGGTAGTCCAGGTGGAAGGCCAGAGAAGTGCCGACTGCCCAGTCCTCAGGACCACCTGTTCTTGTCCTGCCTGCTCCAGTGGGAGCCAAGGGCAGACCAGCTGGTGAGGCTCTACAGATTAAGAACCTGGCAGGGACTGGTTCTCCCACGTCCCTCTGGCCAAAGGTGGAGCTGTTGCCCACATGTGCCTGTCACCACCCACCAACAGTCACATCTTTGGCTTCCCAGGTGGAGAGGTGGCTGGCAAATGAAAGAAAAGAAAATGAAAGAGGAGACTATTGTGGGGGGAGGTGGGAGGGGCGATGGGAAAACGGTTTGGAGTGTGTGTGTGTGTGTGTGTGTTTTGTTTTTTGTTTTTGTTTTTGTTTTGTTTTTTTTCTTTTTGTAGTTGTCTTTCATTAAGTGCTTTTTTTTTTTTCTTCTGTTTTTAAGTAAGTTGCAGGCTTTGGCTTGGAAATCCCCAGGGGGATGAGAGGCAGGAACCTGAAGCTGCTGCCCCTTTATCTGCCTTCATGGTACTGTCCCTTCCCCCAGCTCCTCCCAGACCCCATGAGCCAGGCCACAGCCCTTCCAGCTAACCGCTTCCCATGAGCCACTACTCTGATGTCAGCCTATAACCAAAGGAGCTGGGGGTCCCGGCCTGGTGACCAGCCCTTCTCAGCCCACTCAATCAGGGTGCTCCCCACCTGCAGGCAGGAGGCAACACCCTATCTGCTACCATCAGCCCCTTCCAGAGCCCACCTGCCCCGCCCAGCCCTGCCCTGCCCAGCCCAGCCATACCCTGCTCTGCCCCATCTGGGGGTGCTCTGCTCAGGGATGGGCCGGCAGGGCTGCACCCAGCCTCCCTGGTAAGCAGAGACTCAAAGAAACCTCTGGGGTCCTGTTTCGCCGTCGTGCGATCCCAGGGGTGCACATGGGCCCCTTGGGTGTGTGAACAGAAGGGATTGGGAGGGAGGGCCGCACCCCGCAGTCTTGCTCTGCTGATGTAGAGGGAGCTGCCCACCCACCCCACCCCGCACCGCGGGCTCCTGAGTCGGCAGATTAAGCATTTTATAAATTGTATTTTAAATACATGTTTTAAACTTGTCAGATCCTTGTCCTCATTTCAGCCCCTGGCCTCTTACCTTCTTAATGTGGCTGTTTGTTGAACCCAGGGGGATTACCTCTGCTCAGTCCCAGTGAGAGTCTCAGGTGAGGGAAGGGGCTTGGTGGTATGTGGATCTGGGGACAAAGGCTCCATTTCTTAGTACTTCAGGGAAAGAGACCCTGCATCCATGGGTTCTGTCAGGAAGATGGTGACTGGGGCCACTTCCCGCCCTTCCACGAGGCCCGTGACTTTCCCAGGGACTTGGCTTACATTCACCACTGCCTTTGTGGGGCTCTCAGTCCAAAGGGGAGACACTCGTCTGAAGAGGGCCCCACTGTGCATCAAGAGTGCACGGAGGCCAAGACTCGACATACCAGGGCACCTGCAGCAGGAGCCCCAGCCCCGGGCAGGGCTTGAGTCAAGCCTTGCCTCAAGCCTGAGGGGACTGGGAGGGCCTGGGAGGGAGGTGAAAGTCTGGGGACCTTCCCTGGCGCCAGGCACAGAGGCTGAGGTTCTTGGTGTTTATTGGCTTACCAGGCCATAAAAGCCAACTCCAGTAGCCACCCCTGCCTGATGGCCCATCTGTCTGCAGGCCTTGAACTGCTCCATCAGGACTCCAGAGGGTTAGTGGGTTCGAGCTGGCAGAGAGCCAAGCCACTTGCCACTGTCGGAGCTGTGTTCCCTGGGCAGGGGGGTGGGACAGAAGGGAGGTCTTTGGCTCTCTGCACAATCCTGCCAGGCTCTGTTGTCCCTGTGTGCTCAGGGGAGAGACCTGGAGGCGATGGAGCCAGCTATGGGACTTGGGCCTAACTCTTAAGTCCAGAGTCCTTTTTCTTCAAGGGGACCTGCTGCAAGAGACACACCCCTGCCCAGTTGCTATGCCTGCTATTCATAATTTAGAGCAAGGCTTGGGAGAAAAGTTCAAAGTTAAGTTTTCCTGTGTGGAAATGGGGTAGTGCCAGCCCAGGAAAGATGGTGGGTGTCACTGAGTGCTGGGCACAAGAAGGCTTAGTGCCCTCATCTACCTGGTACACAGATTAGTGCTTCCCCTCCTATTCCTCTCCCTTCTCCCTCGAGGAAGCAGTCCCCCAGGGATCACCTCTTGGAAGGTTGGATTTTCCAGGCCTTAGGCCAGGGGCCTCTTGCAGGAGGCATGACAGAGGCCCTGGCCCTTTGGACACCTACCTGCTTCCTTGAGGTCCTGACGGGAAGAAGAGGCTGCGGATGTCTGGGCTCAGGCTGCTGGAAGCACACTGGTCTAGCACATAGTGGTTGCCCTGCTTCCGCCGCACCATCTTCTTGTCCATCCGGGGACAGAGCGGGATGCAGGGCACCTGGGCATAGGGGCTCTGCAGGTTGGCAGCTGGTGAAGAAGCGGGCAGGAGAGGGAATGCTTTAGAGTAAGGCCAGCTAGGGAGGCAGGTGGACTCAAGTGAAATCCTGGTTTTGCTCAGAGCTGTCTGAGCCTCTAGGCCAGAAACACTAGCAGTAGCCAGCTCACAGTTGATGACGATTTAAGGGGAGATAACTGCAAAGCATCCAGCTGGACACAGGCCCAGAGCAAAGACTAAGCACAGCTTTGAAAGGAGCAGATGTACTCCATTCTTGATGGGTCCTGGCCAAGGCTGGCAGGTGTGCGCCAGAAAAGCTGCAGAACTTCCAGCTATTGCTTGTCACACTGAGGAGCCTAATACATGATACCTGGGCAAAGGAGGCAGTGTTGCTCAGTGGGAAGAGCACAGGTTTGGGGATCAAATGTGGGTGTAAACCCATCCCAACATGCTATCTGGGAGGAATTGGGCAGATTGCTTAAATTCCTGTTTCAGTTTTTCTCTTCTGTAAAATGGGGCGAATGGTGCTCATGAGGATTAAATCTTGGCACATCTGCAGATGGCCTGTCACTGTGACTGACCACAGGGCTCAGTCAGTGATGAGCTGGGATTCCCAATCTCTATAGCTGCTCCCTTCCCAGTCTTGGCTCTTAGGAACACCTGTGCTCTGGGGTAAGGCAGGAGGGGAGGCGTCTGGAGCAGGGGTAGAGGCAAGGGACTGATCATCTGCCCAATTGCTGATGGACATAGTTAAGCCCAAGGTAGGAAAGCAGACCTCCCAGCTCCCTTGGGACATGGGCAAAGGAGGGAGGTGGGCAGCAGAGCCGAGCCCCTGCTCCAGCCTGGTGGGCCCAGGACCCTCACCATAGTTCTGTTGCTTTATCCTACTCAGGATCCTGAGGACCTTCCGCTCTGAGATTTCAAAGCTGTCTGCCTGCTGGGGGTTGTAGGGCAGCTTCTTGCGTGACCGCAGCCGGCCAATGGCTGAGTCCATCTCTCGCGCTTTGCAGGTGCCGTCCTTCAGCTTCTTCTGGTAGTAGCTGGGGAGGCAGTGTGGTTAATCCCCACCCCTCCTGAGCCCCTGTTCCTCGGCAGCTCTGGAGCCAGGCACACAGCCCAGGAGGCGGGAGACCTAGGTGGTTGAGTCCGCTGTGCCCTGCCCTTCCTGTCCGTGAGCAGTGCCGCCCTGCTTGGGCTCAGTGCCCCTGTGTAAGATGGGGAGATGTTTGTTGACCCTGTCACTCCAAGTTACTCGAATTCTCTGAGCTTCTGGTTTCTCCCGGGTTGGCAATGGCACACTCCATGTGCAGTGGGTCAGATGACAAGGCCTGTCAGGCACTTGCCACCAACTGTGCACAGAGAGCTTGGTACGTCACGCATGAGTTACCCATGGTTACCCATGGTTTTGGCCACTGATATCTTTACTTACACATGCAACTGCATATAAATGAGCTGCACAGTCCACTCCTGCTCAACTCCAGAAACCCTCGATCCTTAACTGCACCACCCCTCGCTGCTGTTACTTACCCACCAGAACCTCAGACACGGCGTCTTTCTTTTTTTGAAACTAAAGATTGAACCCACAGGTACTTTACCACTGAGCCTCAAACCCAGTCTCTTTTATTATTATTATTATTTTTTAGTTGTAGAGAAACACATTATTTATTTTTATGTGGTGCTGAGGATTGAACCCAGGCCTCACCCATGTTAGGCCAGTGCTCTACCACTGAGCTACACCCCAGCTCCAGTCTTTTATTTTTTATTTGGAGACAGGGTCTTACAAAGTTGCTGAGGCTGGCCTCCGACTTGCAAACCTCCTGTCTCACTCTCCCCAGTCCTTGGGGTTTCGGGTGTGCACCGTCACTCCCGACCCCGTTTCTTAGCTCTGTTTCTTGGCTTCTCAGTGCGCCGCAGCACCACTCATTCAGTAAATATTCACCGAGTGGCCACTGTGTGCTGCCCACAAGAGTGGTTGAGTGGTTGACCTCGCAGGGTCCCTGTGTCCTTGTCTCAGCCCCACTTGTTATTCCAGACACAGCCACCACAACCACTTCTGCAACAGCTTGTAGCTTTGCCCAGGGACGGTCCATAGGGCCACCTAAGTCCTGCCTGGGCTTCTCTGACACATGCAACCTACAGATACAGAGGAGTACATCGGGGGCCACTCTTGGCTAAGGAGTTAGTGGCTAAGGTTTAAGACTTTCTCCTTCCCCTGGGCCACCCTTTGTGGTTCCCCAGGACACACAGTGCACACCTGACCCAGTGACATGTCCTTGTATTGTCTCCCTCTGTTGCTGTCACCCCTTTTCTTCCTCCTTTCCTTGGAAACACTTCCCAAATCAGCTACCTGCATACAAGCCTATGGGAGAGGCAGACCATGTACAAGTGAAAACACAATACCACCAAGGAATGGTGGGCGCTCCGAGGAAATGGGAAAGGGCAGGGGGAGCGGTGGGGGGAGTTTGCTCCGGGTGGTCAGTGAGGGTGTCAGAGATGATGTTTGATCAGAATAAGGGGAGGGCCAAACCCAGTGGATTCCTGCGGAAATTCCTGCCAGTGATGAGGAAGAGCCCAGTGAGCCCTGGAGGCAGGAGTGGTTGAAGCCTGGTTTGTGGGGATGGGAAGAGTCATAGGCACAAAATGGCAGGGCCACGTCATCTGGCTTGATGGGCAGTGGTGAGGGGTGGGCATGCCTAAGGCTTCTGTTTTGGGAAGGCCTGGTGATTGGAGTGGCAGCTGTGCTTCAGCCTCTACCTGTCCCTTGCGGCCTGGACTCGGGATTTCAATAAACCTTACAGAAGATGGGAAACTAATCCACCAGCCTGTCATGGGGATGTGGGTCCAGACACCCAAAGGCAACCTGTAAGATGAAGCTTGACAGGACATGAGCAAAGTGTAACTTTCTCAGTCACAATGTTAAAGGAAACCGCCTGGCTCTCTTCTTTTCCGTTTCCTGGGGGCTTGAACTCAAGGTTGCTGATAAGTAGTTTAGCACTGACTTAGCAAAGGGTACAACAATACATTGGCAAGAAAATGGGAGCCCGGGCAACTCTGCTCCCGGCACGCTGCTCCCTCCACCGTCAACATAGAACTCCTGTCTCATTGAACTGTAGTCTATTGAGGCTTAATCCTTAACGCCCATACCAACCTCTGATTCTATACCCAGCTCAACTATGCAGTAAGTGAGGGCAGAAGAAACAAATTGGTAGTCATACGGAAATTTTAAAATGCTGGAGGACATGTCCTTCCCAATTGAAAGCATAAGTCAAAAAAGAAAGGCACAGTATACATCTAGAAGACAGATCTGACCTCCAGGAGAAGCTGGGGGGAAGGAAGACTGAAGCGAGGTCCCACCATGGCACTTCAAATGCCTTAAGGGACAGCCAGTTCATACTGCATTACTGTGGCTTAACAGAAATTTTGAAGGCAGTGTTCTTCAGTGTCTTTCTAGCCCAAGAAAACTACCAGGAAAATATGTTCCCGTTTTAAAAAGGAGGAGGGAATATGTCAAGAAAGACATTCAGAGTGGCAGCTATTAAGAACACAAACAGCAGTAAATGTTGGGGATGTGGGGAAAGGCACACTCACACGCTGCTGGTGGGACTGCAAAAGGGTGCAGCCAATATGGAAAGCAAAATGGAGATTTCTTGGAAAACTTGGAATGGAACCACCATTTGGCCCAGCTATCCCACTCCTCGGTCTATACCCAAAGGACTTAAAAACAGCATACAACAGGGACACAGCCACATCAATGTTTAATTCAGCACAGTTCACAATAGCTAAACTGTGAAGCCACCTAGATGCCCTGCAGTGGATGAATGGATAAGGAAACTGTGGAATAAAATCATGGCATTTGCAGGTGAATGGATGGAGTTGGAGAATATAATGCTGAGTGAAGTTAGTTAATCCCAAAAAACCAAATGCTGAATCTTTCTGATATAAGGAGGCTGATTCATGTTGGGGTTGGCAAGGGGAGCATTTGAAGATTAGATGAAATCTAGACAGGGCAAAGGGGAGTCAGGGGAAGGGAGGGGGCAAAGAGTTTTAAGATGGTGGAATGAGATGTACACGTATGAAGACACCAATGGTGTGAGTATAGTTTGTATACAACCAGAGATATGAAAAAATGTGCTCTATATGGTAATATGAATTGTAATGGATTCTGCTGTCATATATAATTTTAAAGAAAGAAAAAGACATTCAGGAAATGGAGAATCCAAATAAGGAAAGGAATAAAATGCCTGGGGCGCAGCAGAGTCCTGGGTGCCAGGCAACTCTGCGCCCCGCACCCTGCTCCCTCCCAGCAAGCCTGAAGTGCAACTTTTCCTGAAACAACAGGAATGGCTATTTTTTTTTTTTTACTGAATTGAACCCAGAGGTGCTCTACCACTGAGCTATAACCCCAAGCTCTTTTTATGTTTTATTTTGAAACAGGGTCTTGCTAAGTAATTGAGGCTGGCCTTGAACTTGTGATCCTCCTGCCCCAGCCTCCCTGAGTTGCTCAGTTAGGAATAGAATTCCTTAAACATGATTTGAAAAAAAAGAAACTCCAGGGAAGATATCAGAAGATTGCCAATGAGTACAAAGAAAAAACAAGGCAATTATCAACTCAGAAAGTAAGAATAACAATAATAAAGGAAATTAAATCATAGTGCAAACGGAGCATCCCTAATCCAAATATCCAGAATGGCCCAAAATCTGCGACTTTCTGAGAGTCAGCACGACATCACAAGTGGAAATTTCTACTCCTGTCTTCACACAACAGGTCACAGTCAAAACACAGGTGCACCAAAAATATCACATAAAACTGGGACTGGGGGTGTAGTTCAGTACTGGAGTGCTTGCCTAGCAAGTGCCTAGTCCTGGGTTCCATCCCCAACACCACCTTAAAAAAAAAAAAACAAAAAAAAAAACCCACAACAATTTAATGGTGTGATCCCGAATTAGGGGGGGGAAAAAAACCTGTAAAGGGCATTGGTGAGACAACGGGAAAAATTTGGAATGAAAACTGTAAATTAGATAATATATAGTATTGTATAAATGTTAAATTTCCCAAAATGAAAAGATATTGTGAATATGTAAGAAAATGTCATTATTAGGAAACATATTGAAAAGATCAGGGGCTCGGGGACATGACATGTTCAGCTCAAATGGCTGAGAAAATATATATAAGAAAGAGGATGATAAAGCACTTGTGGCAAAATGTTAACTACCGGTAAATCTAGAAAATGCAAACCTTTAAGTTTATAAACAAGTCTTCTGACGTTTATTGTAGCTGAATACAAACCCTAATAGAAGAACGTGAACTACCGATCAAATGGAGCCTTAAGAAAATAAGGAAAGGGCTGAGGATAGAGCTCAGTTGGTAGAGTGGTTGCCTTGCATGCCCAAGGCCCTGGGTTCAATTCCCAGCACCACAAAACAAAAGACCTCAACAGTAAGAAAACAGCTTGATTTTAAAAATCAATTTAAAAAAATAAGGAATAGAAGACTTTAGACCAATATGTATGAAAACTAGAAAAACTAGTTGAATTCCTATAAAAATATAAATTACCAAACCTAGCTCAAGAAGCAATAGAAAACCTAGTCATATAACTATAAAATAAAGTAAATCAATAATTTGATTTTATAGTAATTTATTAATTATTTTTGTGTTTCTGGGATTGAACCCAGCAACACCCTTAGCACTGAGCTACATCCCTGCCCTCCCCTGCTTTTTTAAAATATTATTTTTTACTTATAAGTGGACACAGTATATTTTATTTTTTTGTGGTGCTGAGGATCAAACCCAGTTCCTCATGCATGCTAGGCAAGTGCTCTACCTCTGAGCCACAACCCCAGCCTGATCCCTGGCCCTTTTAATCTTTTAATTTCAATAGTAGCTGTCCCTAAGTTGACCAGGCTATCTTGGAAGTTGTGATCCTCCTGCCACAGCCTGCCTAGTCACTGGGATTTGGGACATGAATCAATAATTTTACATCATGCAGAATGTGTTGGCGCCCGCCTGTACCCCTTGCACTACGTGAGGTTGCTAGGGCTTGCTAGAGAGGTTGAGAGCCGAGGAGACATACTTGAGGTTGACAGTGGATTCCAGTCCAGTCCCAGTCGTAAACCTCAATCTACTGTCAATAGCAGCGCCCAGAGCAGCCAGCCAAGATACAGAAAAGCCACGTCCCAGGAGGAAGGCCCATGCTCCAGAGGAGCAGATGGTAGATCTGTTTGATTTCACAGGCTATGTCGTCATAGTTACTCAACTCTTGTCATTGTAGCTTGAAAGAATTCATAGATAAATAAAAATGAGGTAGCCTGGATGTGGCCAGTGGCGCAGAGTTTGCTGATCTCCTGCCCTGGTATAAGGTCTCCTATAGGCCTGACCTAACAGGGCCGAAAACCAAAATCCACAGGAGAAAGGTGGGAAGTGAGTCTTATCCATGAGAGGCTCAAGGAAACTCTGGTTTTTTTCACAAGTATGTTCTCATGAAGAAAGAAACCAAGCCTACACAAACAAAAGTTTATCAACCAAAATGTCTAGGATATGGCCCCAAACACAAAACATCCATTTCAAAGAAAAAAAGTACCAGAACTCTTCCTGAAAAAGAGCCAATGGCAGGCCTACTAGACAAAGACTTGAAAACAGTCTTACCAGATGCTCAAGGAACAAAAGAATGGCATTAACATCAAGAAAATCATGTATGGCCGGCCAGGTGCAGTAGCACACAACTGTAAACCCAGCGACTCAGGAGGCTGAATCAGGAGGACTACAACTTCAAGGCCAGCCTTAGCAATTTTTTGAGGCCCTATCACAAAATTATAAATAAAAAGGTCTGGTGATGTAGCTCAGTGGTAGAACCCCCAGTACCAAAAACCAAAATCAATGTATGAACAAAATGGAAATATCTCTTTGTGTGACATTTGCATGAAGACCACAAAAAGCAATGGAGTCCTGGCACAGATCAAAGAAGTGCCACTGCTGGGTAATCCCAGTGGCTCCGGAGGCAGAGGCAGGAGGATGGCAAATTTGAAGTCAGACTCAGCAGCTTAGGGAGGCTCTAAGCAACTTGTTGAGATCATGTCTCTAAATAAAATATAAAAAAAGGCTGCAGATACAGTTCTGTGGTTAAGTGTCCCTGAGTTCAATTTCCAGCAAAGGAAAAACAAACAAACAAAAAAAAAACAACTGGGGCTGGGGATGTGGCTCAAGTGGTAGCGCGCTCGCCTGGCATGCGTGCGGCCCGGGTTCGATCCTCAGCACCACATACGAACAAAGATGTTGTGTCCGCCAAATACTGAAAAATAAATATTAAAGTTCTCTTTCTCATTCTCTCTCACTCTTTCTTTAAAAAAAAAAACACACAACTATGGCTATTTATCCTTAAGTATTTAACTGATTTTTGTGTGTGTGTGTGTGTGGGGGGGGGCTGGGTTTTGAACCCAGAGCCTTGTGCATGCAAGGCAAACACTTTACCAACTTAGCCATATCCCCTGATATTTTCTTATAAATTAAGTTAGCCCATCACTTCAAGTTAAACAACTGACAGCATTTGTTGCTTATAATGACATTTGCATTTTTTATTAAAACAATTTTTGAGAATATATACACAATCATAGGCATATAAAATTCATACATAAAATCATTTGTAGTACTAAAAGTGAATGTACCAAGGCAGGGGATACAGCTCAGAGGTATAGCACTTGCCTAGCATACTCAAGGCCCTGAGTTCAATTCCCAGTACCAGAAGGAAAAAAGAAAAATGGACTATAGCCAGATATGACATTTTGGGTACTTAATGATGTGGCTAGGCACAGTGGCACAAGCCTATAATATCAGTGACCCAGGAGGCTGAGGCAGAAAGATGACAAATTCAAAGCCAACCTCAGCAACTTAGCGAGGCCCTAAGCAACTCAGCAAGACCCTGTCTCTAAATAAAATATAAAAAGGTTGGGGATATGGCTCTGTGGTGGAGTGTTTGCCTAGCATGTGTGAGGCACTGGGTTCGAATCTCAGCACCACATAAAAATAAATAAAATAAAGGTATTTTGTCCTCAAAATACTCAAAATATATATTTAAAACATTTTTTTTCTTTTTTTTTATTGGTTGTTCACAACATTACAAAGCTCTTGACATATCATACTTCGAACAATAGTTTCAAGTGAGTTATGAACTCCCATTTTTACCCCAAATACAGATTGCAGAATCACATAGGTTACACATTCACATTTTTACATAATGCCATACTAGTGACTGATGTATTCTGCTACCTTTCCTATCCTCTACTATCCCCCTCCCCCCTTTTGTTTAGATTTTAAAAATTAATAAAAGGGGGTGCTGGAGCTAAGTGGTTGAGTGCCTCTGGGTTCAATCCCTGGTACAAAAAAAAAGTCTGCTGATCAGCTTAGTGGCAATATTAATATATAGATGTAATATATAATTATAATGAAATGTGTCAACAGTTGGAAGATACACATTTTCCAAATGACCAAGGCATACCATTACAGAAACATTCAGAGGGGAAGATCCATTCAAACCACAAGACAGATCAAAAGATTTTGATTTAAAAGAGTAAGAAAAGGGTCTGGGGTTGTGGCTCAGTGGTAGAGTGCTCATCTAGCATGCATGAGGCATTGGATTTGATCTTTAGCACCACATAAATATAAAGAATAAAGATATTGTGTCCACCTACTACTAAAAAATAAATATTAAAAAAAAGTAAGAAAAGTTCATGGATTCAGATTCTGCATTGCAACTAACCTTTGGTGCTACCCTCAAGTTTGGTATAGTGTCAAAAAATATCCACTTGAATATGGCTGTTAAGTGAAAAAGTTATTACAATCCTTTCTTTTTCAGTTACATCTTGCATGAAGGTCAGATTTTCTTCATAGCCTTAACCAAAAGAAGTAATTGTGACAATTTTTTTTTTTTTTTGGTACCAAGGATTGAACCCAGGGGCACTCAACCACTCAGCCACATCCCCAGCCCATTTTTCATTTTTTAAATTTGAGATAGGGTCTCAGTTAGTTGCCTAGAGCCTTGCTAAATTGCTGAGGCTGGCCTTGAACTTGCCATCCCCCTACCTCAGCTTCCTGAGCCATTGGGATTACCCCAACCTAGCTGCAGAAGCAGATTTGTATGGGTTTGTTGATTTTTGAACCCTGAGTGATAGTTACATATAGTTACATGGACTGGGCCAAGAGGTGCTGCTGCTTGCTTCAACATTCTTTCTTTTTCTTTTTCTTTTTTTTGTACCAGGGATTGAACTCACTGAGCCACATCCCCTGCCCTATTTGTATTTTATTTAGAGACAGGGTCTCACTGAGTTGCTTAGTGCTTCTCTGTTGCTAAGGTTGGCTTGAACCCGAGATCCTCCTGCCTCAGCCTCCTGACCTCTGGGAGTACAGATGTGCACTGCTGCGCCTGCCCAGCCTGCTTCAACATCATTTCTGTGGGTGACTGGAAAGAGCTTCTGAATGAGATTAGCATTTGAGTTGGTGGACTGAGTAGAGCAGATGCCCCTCCCCAGGGCAGTGGGCCTTATCCAATCTGTTGAAGGCCTGAATAGAACAAAAAGACTCAAGAAGAACGAATGTGCTTTCTCTGCCTGTTTTTGAGAGAGCCAAAGTCTTTCCCTGTCTTTAGACTTGGTTCTCTTGGCTCTTATGTTGTCACTCGCATTGAAGAGTTGAGGAAATAGGTCTCCGTTCTACAGATGAGCAAGTGGCTTGCCCAGGGCTGTGGGGCCAGGGAGAGGCACAGGCAAAGCCTTTCTCCCTCCCACTGGGCCCCAGGGCTTCCTCTGGTACAGCTTTAAAAACTCTGTGTGGAGCACTCAGCACCGTGCATTTTGCATTCTGATCTCATTTGATCCTCACAGCCGCCTCTGTTGAAAGCTAACATTTATTGAGCATCAACTATTAAAATATGTTCAATATTTAAGATGAGAAACAAAGGATCGGGGTCCAAAACTGGTATTTGGAGATCAAGGGAGCCTTTCCACTTTCACCCTTTCCTTCTAGCCCTGGATGTTTGAGTAGCTTTTATGTGTAGCCATCTCTTCCTTAAATGCACCACTGCCCCCCCACCCACCCTCCCTGGGTCCTCTGGCAGGGTCCATCTGATCCCTTTGCTGAAATTGCTTTTACAGAAAAGAATTCTTCCTGCTGAAGTGGCGGAAATAGGAAGGTGTGAGGATGGGACTACCAGTCGCCATTCTTCCCACTTGGAGAGAGCCTAACTCAGCTTGAAGCCGTTGCATAGAAAAGGAGAGATGGAGAGATAAAACCTTATCAATAACATTTGTTCTCCTGGATCCAGCCATTCCTGAAGGCCCAACCAGTTATTTGAGCCAATGCATTCCCCTGTTGCTGAAGACAATTTTCTTTGAGTTTCTTTTGCTTGCAACTAAGAATCTTAACAGGGTCTTAACACTGCCAAAACACTAGATTGTCACCTTTGTGTCCACAACCCTCCACCCCAACAAACAGCCCCACTCACTTTGTGATCTCCTCTAAGGCTGCCTCGGGCAAGGCCAGCATCTCCACCAGCAGAGACAGGATCTCAAAGAGCAGAGTGTGGGGGTTCGGGGGAGCCATGTTCGCCAGGGCATTCTGTTCTGGGGACATGGGATGGTAGCTGCCATTACCACTGGGTGGCCCTGGATACTGCCCCACCACCTCGTCAGCCTCTTGGGTCCCCTCTCCAACTCTAAAGGCCCTGGTTCCATCCCTACTCACCCACAGAGCAGAAGAAGCGTTTGCTGTCTGTCATCACAGCCAAGAAGTCTTTGAAGTCCACATGACCGTCTCCTGTGAAGGCCAGAAGAGGGACAGGGTGGGCGGGGCCCAGAGCGCGTCCAGACAGCCCAACGCAGGCACAGTGACCCGCAGGCACTCAGTGGGTCGGATTATAAAAGTAATGGGCCTTCACTGCATGGTGTGCATAAGGAAGTAGAAGGCTACGAGGAAAACCTCCTGGGGTAGAAGCCACTACCATTTGTGCTTTGAGTTCACATCCCAGGACTACCTCTTCCTACCCAGGTGACCTTGGCCAAGTCTCTTAAGCCCAGTAGCTTTCGTTTTCTTTAGAGTGCAGATAATCATAATACCTGTCTCATGGGCGATAAAAACGAAGTCAAGTGCTTAGAACAGGCCATGTATATGTTAGATGCTCACTAAATTCCAGTAACTATTATTGTTGTTACTGAGAGCTTGTCACTGCACAAGAACACACACCCATGAGATTCCCCCCTGGGCCTTCAGGTCCCTGCAAGGATCCCCTTGTCACCTGTGTCCAGCCTCACTCTGTGCCAAGCTCCCAGGCACTACCAACCTGCTTTCCCAGGGAGCCACTTTGTTCCTTGCCCAGGGCCTTTGCACATGCTGTATCCTCTGCCTGGACTCCTCTTCACCACCCTGCAACTCTACTCATGCAAGGCGAGCACCCTACCAACTGAGCTGTTTCCCCAGCCCAATGCCTCTTAACTTTTATCAGCCCTGGCCCAACAGCACTGTGTCCGTGAGCCAATTGAGGGCTGCAAGATGAGTCCTACACGTCTTTTTATCCTCAGTGCCCCAAATAGAAACGGACACACAGTGAGCACTTAGTGAATACTTACTGGATGAATATATTAGCAGTTACTGTCTCCCATACCCTGTGCTCAGTACTTGGCCTGGGTTATGCAAAAGCCTGATGAGATAGGGACCGTAATCAACCCCATTTTACAGAAGGAGAAACTGAGGGTTCAGGAAGTTCCGTGACTTGGCCAAGGTCGCACGGCTGGTAAAGGGAGTGACTGAGCAGAGGAGGAACACGTGGTGGAGCTTGCACTGGAAGCTGAAGGGAAGAGATCCCGAGATCCCCACCACCCTGGGTCAGGAGTAGGTTTTGGTCATCTTTGGGTCCCCAGAAGCTGGCACTGAACAGGTGCTCAGGGAGCCTCGGCTCCTGGCACCAGGATCTGCTACCTAATTTGTGGGATCCAGGGCTCAATGAAAATGCAGCACAGGGTCCCCTGCCCAAGATGTACAGAGAATAGCTAGATTGTCACAGTGGCGCCTTAAACCAAGCACCCATCCTGCAGGCGCGGGGCCGAGATGCGCCTGCGCGGGCTCTCAGCCACAGCCAGCTCCTCACCGTCCACGTCGGCGCTCATCAGGACGTCCTCCACCTGGGCCGGCGTCAGGGAGAAGCCCACCAGGAGCAGCATGTTCTTGAGGCTCTGCGCGTCCACCTCGCCAGGGCCGTTGAAGATCTCAAAGTAGCTGCGGAAGGCTGTGAGGAGAGCAGGTTACCCGGGGAGGGGCACCCCGTCTTTTTCAGACACCCTCCTGCCCCAAGTCCTCTACTACCGTGAACAGATGAGGACAACGATAATTAGAAGAGCAAAACTCGGGTGGACACCGAGGCCCAAGCTGTAAGCCAAATCAGGAGGCCAAGGCAGGAGGATCACAAGTTCAAAACCAGCCTCAGCCACTTAAAATAAAGAAGGGCTGGGGACTCGTCTCAGTGGTTAAGCACCTCGGGGTTCAATTATGGATACCAAGAAGCCAGGATGGCAAAAACTCATCTCACTGGTGACGTATTTGGTGGCAGGAGCACCCCTACCCTCCTTCAGGACACCTTATGCCATGCCCAGGTTCTCAGTCCCTCCGTCGTCCTATGGAGCAGAATTCTGACTCCCTTTGTAAAGAGGGGAAACTGGGCCCAGAGGAGGGGGGACTCCTTTTGAGTCTAAGCCTATGTCCTTGAGCTTGGTGTCTGCACTCCTTTGTGTGGAAATGGCTTCCAGGGTAGCATCAGTGTTCTGGGCCAGAGCAAGGGACAGGAAGCTCACCGAGAAAGTCCCGGAGCCATGCACACTGAGAGGAGAGGCCAGAGGGGTCAAGACGGGCAGCCTCGGGCCTCTCAGCCTGCAGCAGAGCCCGGTCAGCAGAGCCTGGTCAGAGAGCCTGGTGACTGGCTCTGTCATTGAACAAACTGGGCTGCTGCTGATGGCTGAGCTGTGTCCCCAAATTCACATGCTGAAGTTCTAACCTCCACACACCTCACCTTGTGACTGTGTAGGAAATAGAGCCTTTAAAGAAGGGGTTAAGTGAAAACGAGGTGATCAGGGTGGCGCTGATCGGATCTGATTGGTGTCCTCACAGAGCAAAAGGAAATTCGGACACACAAGGATCTTGGGGATGTGCATGCACAGAGGGAAGGCTGGGGAGGACACGGCAAGAAGGCAGCCACCTGCAAGCCCAGGAGAGAGGCGTCGGGGACACCAACCCAGCCTTGGACCCCCCAGCCTCCAGGACTGTGGGGAAATAAATGCCCTGGGGCCAGCCAGCCTGGGGGTACGTGGATTTGGTAGCCCGAGCTGACCGATGCAGCTCCACAGGCAGGTCGCCATCGTCCTGAGCCGTGGTTCTGTGTCTTGTGTGACAGGCAGAAGCCCTCCTGGGGCCACTGCGTGACTGTATCACTGTATGCTGCAGGTGCCCAGCAGAGGTGAACCGTGGGAAGGGGATGGCAGGGACAGGGTGGGGTAAGCTGGCCTGCCCTGGAAGACACCACAGGAAGGAACAGAACAGCTCCCAAATCAGAAGTGAAGGTTCAGAGTGTCCCAGGACGGCTGGGCGAAGGTCAGGTTAGGACACCTGCTCAGCACATGCGCCTTGCCGTCCCCAGCACAAAAACCAACCAACAAAACTCAAAATGCCCAGTGGCTTGAGCCACTGGAGCAGAGAAATCACCTCTTTCTTCCCCAAACAGGGACTGATGGTCCAGGTGGGAACCCTGAGCCTCCGTGTCAAAACCGCAAGTTGTTCGTGACAACTCGAGGAGCTGGGTCTGTGCTTGGAAGAGGACCCCTGCTAGGCAGTGATGGGTAGCTATGGAGGTTTGTTTTTGTTTTTTTGGGGGGTGGGTGGTACCAGGGATTGAACTCAGGGGCACTCGACCACTGAGCCACACCCCCAGCCCTACTTTGTATTTTATTTAGAGACAGGGTCTCACTGAGTTGCTTAGTGCCTCACTTTTGCTGAGGCTGGCTTTGAACTCACCATCCTCCTGCCTCAGCCTCTCAAGCCACTGGCCGGCTAGCTATGCAGTTTTGATGCTAAAAGGACGAGGTCATTGCCCTGGAGCCTATGACAGCATGTGAGGAAGGCAGGGGGAGGGGCTGCTTTGTCCAAGAGGGTCCCACATTTTGCAAAGGAAGACAAGGGGGGAGGACGCACACCTGTTCTTTTAAGATGTCAGGGGTCGAGGTACCGCGGCCCAGCCCCAAGGACAAGCCGAGGGCACAGGTGACTTCCAGGGCGGAGCTTCAGAGCTTTTAAATTTGGGGGTGGGAAAGGGGGACCTGTCTAAGGCTGGTGGCCTTGTGGATGGAGAGGGACTGTCTAGGATAGGCCGGGGCCTGGAAGCACTGTGTCCCGCCCGAGCTTCCTGCCAAGAGGACAATTAGAGCAGCTTGGGGTGAGGCCACACAGCCTCCGAAGCCCACCGGGCTCTGCAGGACCTCGTCCCCCTGGAGCTGGCAGAGCCCAGACCTCAAGTCAGAGAAGTCAGTGGGCACAGCGCTGCGGGCTGGGGCCACCTCCCACGCCCCCTGTGCCCAGGCCACCTGCAGATAACCCCGGGGCCCCACCCAGGGCCGTGGGGCTTGGGGGCAGCAGTACTGGGCCTGGGAGTGCTCACCTTCCTCCTGCTTCTGGGTGAGGTGCTCCTCCGACCACTCCTCGCAGCTCTGGTACAGCTTGAGGAGGTTGCGCTCCTCCAGCTCCTGCCTGCGGAGCACTGGATGTTGCCACCGTGGCGCAGGGCCACCGCCAATGGCCATCGGAGGGGGAGGGGAAGCCAGGACAGAGGGGGTCATGGCAATAGCCCTGCGGGGTGGGGGCAAGAGTGGGGAGCGAGGCCGAGGGCGAGGAGGACCAGCCGGAAAGGAAACAGAGACCAGGGGACAGGGCTGGGAAGTACCCAGGGGGACAGCCTAGGAGGGAGCAGGCAGGTGCAGAGACAGGGACGAGGCCGGGGCTGGGGTGGCGCCTACCGTGCCTTGGTGTAGCTCAGGCTCCTGTCGTTGCTCTGGGGCAAAAGCTC